CCCCCAAACCCAACAACAATCCAGGTTGCAATCACGTTTTGTGTAAGCCATTTCTCGATTTAAAGCTTAGTTGACGGTACCTAGCGAACTTTATACCTTTAAAAGAAAAGAAAAAATAGAGAAAAAAATGGTTCCAATCTCTCTTTGCTGACAACATTTCCCGATTGAGTCAATTGTCAAAATGATAATTTACTGCGATACATTTTGTTTAATTTTCAGGAAAAAAGAGTGTTTCTAACGTTTTCTTAAGCGTCGGTTACACGTAACAATAAACTGTGTAAGATTCATCGTATGCGAGAACTGTCAGTTTTATCGAGCCGTGTAGTCTGTTTAGACGTTCCAGTCTATCGTCTAGTTTTCTTTCGATCAGGGAGATTCCTAGCCATTGACTTGACTGCAGATGTGCGACGCACCGGGTGACCTTGATAAACAACTTCACCATTGACGATCAAATATGCATAATGGCACATCAATTCAGGTTCCACGCGAAGAGCTTTGCTTATTTTGAGACGCTAATTCCGAAAAAGACATCAGTTTTTAAGAACGATGATTATTTAAAAAAATTTGAGCCCTAAGCTCTGGTTTAAGCCGCAAATTTCAAAATAATTCTACGTCACAGCACGTCTCCTCCCAAATCAGACCGTGATCGCACGGAAAATATCAAGCAAGGCTTGATTTCTCGACCGAGTCTCCAAGCCATCGTCCAATCGTCCAAACTTCTTACAATTTTGTGGTTACACCTGACGATTTGTCTCATGTTCAATAGATCGTCCAGTTTTTGGACAATTTATCGTTACATGTAACAGGGGCTTTAGTTCTGCAAGTTTTTGTTTCTAAATGTTTTAATTTCAATGTACTGTCACTTGCAATGAATTCTGACATTTACGTTCATAATATTTGTTCTAGCCTATTTTTTCAATTTTTCCATTTTCAATTTCGACAAAACATTTCTCAAGCACGTGCAACCGATACTACAGAACCAGAAACCATGTGTGCGTCCACATTTTTATTCATGCTTCCACTCATAAAATTATTATCAACTCATTTTCCCGTATCCATCCTTCCACTCATTCATCTATTAACTCATCTTTCCATCCATTCATATATCCGTCAACTTATCCACCCACCCATGAATTCATTCATCAACTAACTTATCTATCTATCTATCCCTCACCCACCCACTACTTATTAATGAGCCTAACATTCGTACACGAAGATAAAAGACCAACCACAGGGAAGTGCACTAGAAGCAAAATAACGCAACCGTCATCAATATGGGCCGTCTTTATTAACCAAACCAGTAAACGTATTTGTACCATGGTATTAGGTTAGGGCCCGATTATCTGAAACATCTATTATGTCATGTAGATAGATACACTGAGACCAAAAAAGTTGGCTTTATTAAGGCAACAATAATATGTATACGAGCCTGTGAAGAACGATCAACACACCCCGTGTGTTGCAAGAATATATATTTACGTAATAATTCCTTGAATATATACCTAGGAGGGTTGACGACTGTCGACATTCATGAATTTTACAACATCATAGCCTACCAAGGGAACTATTCATAACCCTGTTGATTACTTTATTATTGTCTTTATTACGAGTTGTAATGGTGAGTGCGTGAACAGAGACACTACGGTAGAGATATCGGGTTTGTTTTTGTGAGGATGTACGATAATGTGGAATTCAAATGTATGTCATTGTTTGTTGTTTGTGTGAGTAAGAGAGAGAGAGAGAGA